AAAAAATTCTTAGTCATTTTAAATGCAATATATACGTCTGTATTCGGTGTTAAATCCAAGCTGTTTCTGGACTTGTTTATGCCTTAAAACAGGTCAGGAAAGCCTTTTTGTGTGCGGCTGCCAGGTACAGTTTCTCTTGGCCCGGGAGGAATTTGTAAAACATGTTCTCGTAAAGATGAAATCAAACGTGCCTATTCTTGAAGTGGATGCTGGAAAATTATTCGCAGGCAAATAAAGTTGCGTGCGACTGGCGAAAAAGCCGCCCAGTTCTGATGCCTGGTTCTGTTTAGCACAAATCATTTTCACTCGGATATTTGGAAGTGTCGGCAGTGATTTCCAGACTCTTGCTAATCCCTTGTCCTGATGTAAACGTTGATCTTCTAAATTTGACACAGCCTTTGCCTTCCACTGTTTGCAGCTTTTTCTGTTTTGTTTTCTTGCATATAAATTTGTCTGTCCTCAGTTTATTGTGGCAGAAGGAGCTGTACTGTTTTGTTCATCTGATTCAGAGGAAGGGGGGTGCAGACTCTTTGCGGCATACCTCCCTGCTCACACACACAGATGTGCATCATCACTGGTTGATTGTGGCTGACCCTGGCTGATTGAATGGGTAAAGGGGCAGGCGGTTGTGCAGCTGGGCCGGCCGTCTGGCTGTCCACAGTGGTGGGACGCTGAGGGGAGGAATGGTAGCGTGACTGCAAAGGGACTGTCGGGCCGCCATGCCGTGACCCCAGTCGATATACTCCCGAGTCAGCGCACTGTGGTGCACTTGTTCCCCTGCCAGAGATGGCGGAGACAAAAGAGCGAGGAACTTCCCCCGATCTTCATTTTGGCTGTTTGGACGACTCCAAGGCCCGCTCTGTGCCTGCAGGGTTCAGTCAGCAGGCCTGCGGAGGAAGAGCAGAGCAGAAAGAAGGAAAGCTGGGAAGCTGAACAATTATAAGAAGGAGAGGAAGCCTGTGTGTATATGTTGGGATGGTATCCATGACATCATTGCTGGAGGAAGTTTCTCAAATGCATCGCTGCAGTGAACCTCATTATGATTGAACAAAAAATGAAAGCTCCTTCCTTTACATATTGGTAAAGTGAATAAACTTGGAACATAAATTATATTGCATAAATGTTTAACATATTCTTGCATTTTCCTTTCAATTTGGCCACTTCCAACCACAATCCTCTCTGTATTTTCATGGGATCTTAAGAACAGCTCAGAATAGAAACACAAAAAACAGTTTTTTTGTAAATTAATAGGTCAGGGAGAAAGCTGCAAAGAAATGAAAGCTGAACAGCATGACTGTCCACGTAAACGTACAGAACAGTACAAATAAGGTAAAAATCAAGGCAGAAGCCAAGAAGTCCATGGTAACTTTGAAGGAGCTGTAGAGCTCCACAAATCAGCTGCAAATATTTGTTCGTAGGACTGGTGCCATTTGTCTGCGCTTTAAGGAAGAGCGGGAATCACACTTGAAGCTGCAGTTGCTGTGAAAGGCTGTCCCACAAAGCAGTGAAACAGGGAGTCTGAGTGAAAATGCACTCAAGACCATTTAGCTTTTTATTCATCAAAAATATTGACAATCGTTCATCTTTTTCTTCCCACTCCACATTTCGAGACTACTTTGTGTTGGTTTAACGCATAAAGTCCCAGTAAAATATATTAAAACAATGTGGCTGAACTTTGAAAAAATGTGACAAGGTTTAAAGGCCATAGATGCATTTGCAAGGCACTTTAAATCTAGTCTTTTTAATCGAGCATGTCTCTGACTTTTACAGACTTATAAAGTCTGTTCTGTTCTGTTATTGCAACTCAACAGAAAGTATACCTCAAACTAAACACTAGTGCAGTTTGGCTGAGCATATCTAGTGTTTTATAGGAATATGAGTCACGCTTTCTCCACTGCATGTTTACTTGTTTGTTTATATGTTGTCCATATGCTCTGGTGCATAATTACCTTGCTCAGCGAGACGTATTAAACAAAAGGGGAAACATTTGTAATAGCCAAAGACCAGCTAATTTTTCCAGGAAAAGTAATAGCCAAAGAGTGGGGAAAGAGCCGGCTGCTGTTCTTTTCTTTCTTTTTTTTTTTTTTTTTAACAATACAAACATCAGTCAACGGGAACCAAAGTTAGCTTTGTTTCATGACTGTCCATTACTGCTCAATTATTCTCAGATGGAGAGACAAAAATAAAAAAACAAGCTCAAAAGTTTTGGCAAAGAGGCTTTTGTGAGTCGAGACATCAAGGCTTCATGAAAGTTGTTCGGAAGGCCGAGTCAAAAAGTCATCAGAAGGGTAGAGACAAAGTGGAGAAAGGTTTGCGTGTAGTTACATGAACGCAAGTTGGCCTCGTCGGATGACAAATTGTACGGTGCTGGGACGGGACGGTTCAGCCAGCTGGTTGGCCCCATCGCCGGGTTGATTGATGGTGTTGATGTTCTAAATCGGCCGCCAACACGCCGAGTACAGGACTCGTAATAGCGCAGCCTTAGATTGGCCCTGGAGATAGCAGGAAGTGGACGGGGGTGTATGTGAAAGGGGTTGACTGCAAGGGAAAAAGGACACGTTCCCATGCAAGCACATGGGATATGGATGCATGGTGCTGGGACGGCTAAATTCGGTCAACTGAGTTAGAAGTTAGAAACCACAGAGCCTTCTGTGAAAATCTCTCTTCAACTATCACTGTATGTTAGATGCTGCACAAGTGGAGAGTTATAGCACTCACCATCACTCAGGGATTTCCCTTAGCTCACTTCGAGTCTGAAGAAAATACATGAGGGGGTCATCATCATCGCTTGGACAAAAAAGCAGAGGGTCAAGGTGCAGTCATTACTGTCGAACAGAGGTCAAATCCAGAGCTCTCATGTCCACAGTTATCTGACCAATGTGCGAACAAGTCAGGAGAGGGTAAGAGGGGAGGGGGCAGTGGTGAAAAAAAAAATACAACTTCCCCTTAATTGTAACAGGAACCCCTTTATCATAGTTTGACTGAATAACACATGCTACCTTTGATCAAGACCAAGGCAGTCTGGGATTGTGAAGGAAGCTCTCAGATCTCGACACACGCAAAGGGGAAACACAGGCCAGCGTGAAGGGGGAGGGAAATCACTGGAAGCTTTCCACCATCACTGTGGGACAAAAGAGAACATTAGATGGACAATTTCAATTGTGTTCAAGACCTGTTGAACAAAAATTGCTGTTAATTTGTTGCAAAAATGTTCTCCTCCACACCTGCTTGCAAAAATTTGGACTCTCTGGGTCTTTGGATGTAAATATTACCACTTACTGATTGTGCGGTCAGCAATATTTGACATCTGTCACTTTCTCATGCAGCATCTTCTGAGATTATTGAAGGCATTTCTAAGGATGTTTTGACTTTTTTTGTTTAGTTATGTCAACATTGCTCAAAGATTGATTCGCGCTCTTTACACTGACCAATAAATCGTTCAGTAACAAGACAATCTCACATAACCCAAACTGTAAATCAATATTGTGTCTACAAAAAACAGAGATATTTTGCAGCTGTATGTTTAGCCACTTTGTAAGAGGCTTTCTAGAAAAAATATTGCTGGGTCCCAAATCTGTGTTTGCGTCTGCAAAGTCATCCAAACATAACACAGCATAACAATGACAAATTATAATTTGCTCAAACTGACTTAGGGATTAAACTAATGCTTCTTGTGTTTGCCCAGTATATTGCTGGGCATTGCTTTCAGTTACTTTTCCTGTGCATACATTTTTTACACCTACTTGTTCAAGAATTTTCTTTATGAAAATCAAACCGCTGAACACATCCAGGAGCTTCTAGCTGTGCAAAAATGTGTATTTTATTCCTTTCAAATTGTAATATGTCAGGATTTTTCATTTTGGGCAACGACACTATACATCACAAAGACAGAAGAGACAAACATACATGCACTCACACTACTAGGGCAAACATGTTTTGGACAGTATGAGAAAACTGGAGTACTCTGAGAAAACTTTCACTCATAATAGTCCAAATGTCTGAATTTCTAGCAAAGAGGAAGACAGAGAGAATGAAGTGGGCCCAAAAACAGGCTGGGGCCACAACACGTGTGAGATCAGCTCGAGCTGAACATGACGAAGCTTATGTGGACACTGAAGTTTCTATTTGTAAAGTAAAAGCTAAACCAATCTAAAACTGTTCCAAAATTCCCCATAGGAAACATGCAAAAAGCTGGTCAGCAGTTGTTGACATTTCTCATGAGTTGTTGAGAAGCATTGCAACGTACACTTGGCCTGTAAATGTGAGGTATCTCAAATTAGCAAAAATTAAAAAATAAAATTCCAGACAAGTGAAGTCTGGACAGAGTGTTGTATGCAGGTCACACAGGCAGTCTGTGAAGGCTAACAAGTTTAAAACTACTCACTTTTTGTGTTGGCAGCATGAACTGTGAATTAATAGAAATAATAGAAGCCACACCGGTGAAAATGTTGTGGGTTATAAGAAGCTGTCTTTTGATGGAAGACACTGGGTAGGTGCGCCTGTCTTTTATGTGAGAGATGTCAATTGGTGAAGTGGATTTTATATGTTTGCTGACCCTGTTTTGGGTTCATGAAAATGCATATTTTTAAAATAAAGAATGCTCAAAAAATAAATGAAATAAATCCTAGTAGATTTTCTGCACAGCTCTCCGTCCCAGTGCTATGTTGATTGTATGTGGCAATCGGATGAACCTGTCCAACTGTGCCTATAACAGCCAGGTTATCTCTTTTCTGTTTATTTTGGGAAACTTTACACAAAGATTGAGCAATTCAGACTGCTGGCTGGAAAAGACTATCAGCAGCAGTGCACCACCATACAGTATTTGTTCTCTCAGGTTTCACCAGGACCAACAGGCCATAAAATCTTACTAAAAACAGCCATGTGAAGCTTGTTCTTGTTCAAGGGCCTCCCTGTCAGTAGAAGCTGTGCACTGTGCTCTAAGAACATTATCTCCCCTTTAATCCACTTTGCCTTCTGCTGCGTGCAGGTGGACAGACAGCCAGACGGAGCTGGGTGGTACAAACACCAGCTTCCACGCATAATTGCAACAAACTATTTAACTCAGAGACAAAGTCAACTAATTCACTAGGTAGTGCATTTCATCTTTTGTTGCTATAAATTCCTTTTTACGCATTGTAGTTAAGTGCGACTCTTTGCTCTGCTATGGAGGACCCGGACATAAGGCAACAGAAGCTGGACAACCAGGTAAACACAGGCTGATTATTTGTGTTCTTCAGAGAAACAGCGAACAGGCCGAATCTGTGATTGGCTGCACTAAAATATCTCTTTATTTGTTTTTTCCAAAAAGATTTTGTTCCAGATTTAGAGAAATTGAGAGGCTCAGATCGTGTTGTTTTTCCTTACGTTGTCTTTGTATTTTCTCTGTATGGAAGGACTTTGCACTGTCATTTGAACTTAATATTCCTATGGGATCATTAGGTTGTGTTTTATTGCAATATGTAACTTTAAAATTAATTAGGAATTAATCTCCCGAGACTAGAGTGTCATTGTGTCATGGGTGTAAGAGCCACCCACTGCTTAGGCATCTGCTCAAGTGTTCTTCAGGGCACGGTGACGTCTGATTTACAGTGCTGGTCAGAGGTTTACATACACTCACCATCAGCATAAATGTAAAATTCAGATTTTTCCTATAATGGTGCATTTGTCCTTCAAAGAAAATGACTATAGTGGGTGTTGAAAACAATAATTAATTTTACAGGTAAACTTATATATTGATATTCCCCCTGATAATACACATCCACCAAATATTGGTGGGTATTTTTAGTCCATCCATCCATCCATCCATCCATCCATCCATCCATCCATCCATCCATCCATCCATCCATCCATCCATCCATCCATCCATCCATCCATCCATCCATCCATCCATCCATCCATCCATCCATCCATCCATCAACTATTCATTTTGTAGTTTTATAGTAGTATGTCCTTAAAAATAGTCAAACCAATTCAATGAAAGCACATGATATGAGCGTTTGTAAACTTCTGGCTTGATCAACATTGTGGTATCCACATTGTAGAAAATTATCAATAATAATAAAGTGGAAAGTGTACGTTTTTTCAATCACTTGTTTGGCATTTTTGATCTCCCACCCTAGCGAGCTCTTTTGATAAAAAAGCAGCAAAAGAAGAGAGCAGACGCTCAGATGGTGGTGGCCAATAGAGACGCTCGCCAAAAGAATCGGAAGCACAAGACGGTCAACTCAGAAGAGGTTCCTCTGTTGATCTCTCAGTCCCTGAGCAGCACGTCTCTGAGTGGTTAGTATTTGAACGGTGTCATATCATTTGTGGACAACAATCCACTCGTCATCGTTTTCAGGGGTATAATTAATTAATTCTAAAGACGAGAAAACAATGTGAAAGTTCAAATTTATTTGCGGGTTTTGTCACATCTGGTGGTAAGTTATGTGCTTTTATGCTGATCTTGCAATGAATAAAGTAACCTAACATTAAGTTTGTGAAATGATAATCACCTCAGCCCTACAGATGATTTATAAACAATCATAAAAGTCCCTCTTCATGCCAGGAAATTAATTTAGATGAGTTTTATCATTTACCAGCTGCCAAAGAGACTAATCATAATTCCAGGGCAGAATTAAGCCAGAAGCGTTTGATGCTTTTAAAAAAAACACAGGTTTCCTGAAACTTACCAAACAGCATTTATCCAAAAATTTGCAGAGCCAGTATGATCATTGCATCTGCACTTCAGATTGACACTGTTGATGTTTGATGTTTGTTTCCCGGAGATCAAGTAGAACATGCCCATGACAACCCCCTGGATGAGATCACACTGGGTGAGGGTGACGTGAATACGAGTTCAGAACCGGATGAAACGCCTCCGGAGAAGCCTGTCACTCCCAAAACGATGGACTTAGAGGTTGACCAAGAGTCTGAGGTAAATGGTAAAGAAGAGAACGTAGCCCCCGAGGAGGTAAAAAAGACCAAAAAGAAAGATGTGAAAAAAGACAAAACCAAACGTAAGACTTTTTTGTTGTTGTTGTTGTTTAAACTGAGGCTGTACAACATTGAGATTTTAAGCATTTTTATCTTAGAGACATTTGCCACATTTCATTATTTATCAGAGTCGTTCTGGTTCTTTAGAAGCAGAAGAGACAGAAGAGGAACTAGAAAAGGAGAAAGAAAAGGAGAAGAAAGAGAAAAAGACAAGGAAAAAAGACAAAGTGAAGGAATCTGTAGACACACAGAAGAAGAGCAAACAAGAACGTAAAAGTAATCTTGAGAAACAATCAAAATTCGATCTGTTCTATGACCCTTTTAGTCAACCTTTTGCTGCTAGGTTTATTTAACATTTAAGCAAACATTTCTCTTGCAGAGAAGCATTTGCAGGTGGATTCAGCCCCTGAGACAAAACCAGAGGTGAAGGATGAAACTCTAAAGGATAAACGCAACGAGAGCGACAAAGACGAAGAAGATCCTCGGGAGCCCGAGACTCCGTCACCCATGAAGAAGAGAACTCTGGATACATGTGAGTGATTATGTGATCTAATTTGCTGTGCAATCTGCAGCAATGTGGAGCTAATAAACACGAGTCTTTCACATTATAATTCACAGCGAGGTGTCAAATAAGTGATGAGAGCAAAGATGAGGAAATCCAAGAAGAATCGGAGCGGAAGAAGGAGAACAAGTCAAAGAAAGCAGAGAAAACTCCATCCACTCTGGCATCGTACAACTCCAACTGCAGGGAGACGTCATCCTCAGGCAGTGAACATGATGAAAGGGTCGGGCTTTAAAAGTTTTTTTTTTTTTCTTTTATGAATATCGAAGAGAAATGTGCAGAGAGAAAGAAAAAACAAACATTATCTGTGGAATTAAATTATGTCCTATTTCAGGTGACTTCTCCAATGTCCATGGAGGACCTTGAGAATTTTGCCCTCCGTCCCGCTCCAAGAGACGTGACCATCCAGTGCAGGGTCACCAGGGACAGGAGAGGCATGGAGAAGGGCATCTACCCAACTTATTACCTCCACATGGAGAAAGAAGACGGCAAGAGGGTGACCATTTTTCCTTGTAAAAATCGTTCTCAAAAAACAAAAAAAATTGCAATACGTTTTTTTTTTTTTTATGTACTGCAGCTTTTTGTGTTTGACTGTAATCTATTTCTCTATTGTTTCACCTTAAAGGTGTTTCTGATGGCGGGCAGAAAACGAAAAAAGTGCAAAACATCCAACTATCTCATCTCCATTGACCCAACAAATCTAACCAGGGATACAAACTGTTACATCGGAAAACTAAGGTACAATCTAATGTTTTTCTGCTTATAGTAAGGAAGGTTTTCTCAAATCGTATTGAAAGATGGAGCTGTTTCATCACCTCTGATGTGTGCGTATGTTTTTTAGTACCCAGTAATCGACATGCAACTTTGCGTCATTGTATAAAAAGAAACCACATCCTCTCGAAATGCATGAGTTACGTTGCCTGTACCAGGTTGGAAAGCACATACCACAGATTCCACAGTTTTGAGTGGTATACCTCAAGTATTCTGGACACTTACAAAATACTGTATAAAGCCCTGACTTTTACAGAAAGTGAAGGATTTCACATCAAAGGTGAAGGATGAACTTACTTAGTGCATCCGACTTTAGCTGTTTCTTTCCTCGACAAAGCAATTGAAAATCATTGATAGCGTTTGCCCTTTGTAGTGTTCACCATAGAACAGTGGTCCCACCAGTTTCATATGCGCATTTACTGATCAATAAAATATGATTTTTTTTTTCCAAATTCAAGACAGAGGTATATGTTTTCTTACTGGTGCACAAAATGAGCCGTGCATGAACATCACCTTGCTCAAAGAACAAAACCAACACAGTGCATGAACTCACAACAAATTATGGTATTGCACAATTATGGCACAGAAAGTACTCCTACTTCAGTCATTTATTGTTTCACTATGTCTATTTCCTTGACAACTGGATAACTGCTGCAGTTATCTCTTTTCACATCTTTTTTTTCTATAAAAGCAACACTTGGGTTGGTGTGTTTGTGTTTAGCAGTATTTAATTCCTCCTATAACCTTTCAAAAGAATGCTTGCTGCTATTAGCAGACTGTACTTTCTTTGTTTGGCAATTCCATAGAAAGTATGCCTGGCACAACGGTTCCTTGCTTTGCTGTGTTTCTATTATGGGTTGTGGGTATTCTTTATTGTTTTCTTTCTCAAAGAAAGTATCCCTTACCCATACTTCTGTGTTTTTTAAGCCATATTGGAAGTATCTCCATGTTTAAAGGGGTGGAGGGCTATTCCTCTCCTCTATATAAGAGGCTTTATTTAAGTAGCTTCTTGTGAACTGGACATGTGGCTTGAGAATTGCCTCAAAATGACATTGGTAGACAAATAAATAAACTAAATTAAACAGGACTAACATGACTTTACTTTTTCCTCTTGGTCTTTTTTTTTCCCCAGAGTCATGCTTCTTCTTTCTTCCATTCTTAAATGACCGAAAATGTATTTGATTTTTTTCTTTAAGCAAAAGAACAAATGACATTGTCACAATACCAAAACGGTTATTGATATTCTGCAATTTTATAGACATGCAATGTGCAACCTATATATTTTTAGATGCATTTGATTACGTTACTACAAACAAATAAAACGTAACACAAATGTCCAAAATCCCAAATCTAGTCCTCCATAGTCCACAAACCCAATGGCGACACACTTTTACAATGTCGATCTTTTAAATTTGAAACCTCAGTGTTCTTTTGCACACATGTTGTGGTATTACTTTTAAGAGTTCAACTCTCATTTGCTTCAGGTCCAATGTTCTGGGAACAAAGTTTACGGTCTATGATGGAGGTGAAAACCCAGAGAAAAAACCTTTCATTAAAGAGAGTGAGTCAGTGCGGCAAGAACTGGCAGCCATATGCTATGTGAGTCAAAAACATACATACACACAGACACACACTGTTTCACACAATGTAACAAGCAGTAAAACCTACAAGACACACAAATTATTCTTTTCCAGGAGACAAACGTTCTGGGTTTCAAGGGTCCAAGGAAAATGACAGTGATCATCCCTGGCATGCTGGAGAACGATGAAAGAGTGTCCATTCGTCCAAAAACTGTGAGTCTTTGTTTAAAGAAAAAAAAGAAAAATGACAAATAATGTTCAGAATGGGTTTTGAAGTTGGTTAAGAGTAAAATATTTGAGCTGAGGTGACATTTACGTTTATTTCAGGAGCTCGAGACTCTGCTGGTGCGCCATTCGAATGGAAATACTGACAAACTGGTCACTTTGGTGAACAAATCCCCAAGCTGGAATGAGCAGACTCAGTCGTACGTGCTGAACTTCCACGGACGTGTAACGCAAGCCTCCGTGAAAAACTTCCAGATCATCCACCCAGACAATGGTAAAATAACTACATTTCTCTCACGACGACAAACTTGATGATGTGTTTCGCCTGAGATCTTCAAACTCCGTTTTTATGTCTCTTTCAGAGGACTATATTGTGATGCAATTTGGTCGTGTGGCAGAGGACGTTTTCTCCATGGATTATAGTTTTCCTATGTGTGCCCTTCAAGCCTTTGCCATCACTCTCTCATCCTTTGATGGCAAACTGGCATGTGAATGACCACACCCAAAGTGCTTAACAAGATGTGTAAACTACATAGAAAATGTACTAGTTAAAACTGAAGCTACACCCATTATTTAACTATGTTGGGACTATGTTTGATTATATCCGCTACGCACACAACTTGAAACATACCACAAATGTGACAGAACAGTTGTTTTATAGGTCCTGTGACTGTCTTTTTGTGTTTTTTATTGTCATTTTAATTGAAATACAAGGCACTACTACATAGCTTTCCTTTCATATTTTCAAAACGTGTATGTGATTTGTGTAATTAAGCTATTATTTTATTTGATAAGAAATCTGAACTATTAAAATAAAAGATTGAGTATTAAGATTTACCTTTTTTTTTCAAAGGTAAAATCTTAATATTCAAGGTTATTAAGGCAAACATAATTTATTTGCCGTAATGTCTGTCTGTTTAATTTATAATAAAGTCCGTAATCTTTATGCGTGCATCACTTTTTTATTTCTCAGGAAGAGAAGGTCTACTTAAAAATCATCCTTTACACATGCGATACCTCAGGATGTGGCACATTACGTCTTTTATTGTTTTCACGGACAGGAGCAAAATATCATCTTCAATATTTCAGTTGTAGTCCAAATAATTTGGACTGTAATACAATATAGTGACTATAATATGGAAAATAAAATAAGCAATGAAGAAAGTAATTTACCAAAAGAAAAACCTGTAGAAATACTACAATACAAATACAGCCAATAAGATAATGCAGTAATATAACAGTGTGGTACGAATATGTATGCTTAACTTTGTATTATTTTCGTGAGGGCAAAATAACCCTAAAGTAATTAAGATTAGTTTAGACTAATTAATAAGTTTGGTATGTGGTCTAAGTAATCCTTGCCACAATGGATAAGACAAAACATTATTTTTAGAAGGAACTGCTTTGCTATTTTTTTGTTGTTGTTCAATTAGAAATCAATAACTTTTTGTCTAATTGATTCATAATCTGATAATTCATCACATTCTGTTTTTTTAAGCAATATGGGAAATATTCTCTTGTCAGGTTGAGAAATGCAAGTGAGAAATTCTGAAATGCTCCAGATTGGCCTTTCAGGCATCTCCAAGTTTTGCTACAGCTTCTATTCACTGGCTCTTGTTGAAGGCCAGAAGACAGAATAGTGCCAGTTGTCCTTCTGGACGCAGATAAAGGGCAGGGCTCCAAAGAGTCCACTGTGTAAGCTGTTGTTGGGCCGATGTCATTCTGGCCTTGGGCAGCTGACAGTGGCGTCTATGAAGCAGTCCCATTCTTTACGCCTTACATGCACAGACACAGGGCTGAAGACACACAATTGCAGTCGCCAGCCACATTTTCTTGCACATATATTACAGCAGAGGGTTGAAAAACTCTGAGCTGTCTCACCAAATGAGATAGAGCTTTTGTACCTCTTGAACTTTTCCATATTTTGTCACGTTACAATTAAATACAACTTAAATACATTGTAGCACACAATTGTGAAGATGTGGACACTGCTGAAGGAAAATATCCCCATAACATGATTCTGCCACTACCATGTTACACCATGGAGACAGTTTCATACAACGTAAAAAGAAGTAAACTGAAAGTGTTTACTTTCAGTTTTCAGCTCATCTGGTCAAATCACAAACGTATTTGCATGCACAGGCCTCTTATATTGGTCACTATGAGACCAGTATGTCTCATAGTGAGACACACTATGAGACCAGTATGTCTCATAGTGAGACACACTATGAACCAGTATGTCTCATAGTGAGACACACTATGAGACCAGTATGTCTCATAGTGAGACACACTATGAGACCAGTATGTCTCATAGTGAGACACACTATGAGACCAGTATGTCTCATAGTGAGACACACTATGAGACCAGTATGTCTCATAGTGAGACACACTATGAGACCAGTATGTCTCATAGTGACCAAAGCCATTTCTGTAAAAAACAAAAACAAAAAAAAGATAGCAGGAGTGTAGATCTTTGCAGCTTTGTTTCCGAGATCTAACCTACAGCAACTCCCCAGAATAACATGCCATAGACACACAAAGATGCAAATACAAACCATTCTTCACACACGTACCACCTACTGGTAGCGAAAAAAAGAAGACTGCGCTAACCTCACCATTTGTGTTCTGTGACAGTGTGTGTGTTTGTGCATGTGTGCGTCCGATTGTCTCCGTCGTCTTTATCTCACTCTCCCCATGCCTCTTCCCCCCTTCTCCTGTCCTCCTCCTCTCAGATCCTTCTTCCTCTCCATGATTTCGCAGACCTCCACTTACTCCATTGTGCAGAGAAACAAAAAAAGAAGAAGCGGGAGAATAAAGAAACACAATCGCCTTGTCCTCTCTCTCATCTTAATAAGCAGCTCCAAGTTTGATAATTACACGTTCAGCGTGCCGCATGAGTTTCTATGCAGTGTTCACATCAGGGAGAGAGCCATTGACTCCGCTGTTGAGGGGAGCCACTATTAGGAATGACTGACAACTGTCCCCCCCACCCAGCCCCAACTACCACCACCACCACCACCAATCCTAACTCCCCTCCCTTTTGGTCCGTGGAGGCTGTAAAAGCGAGAACAGATCCGATCAGTTTCAACTCCCGTTAGGGAACGTGTCCCTGAACGTCACCGTGTAAGTGCCGGAGCAGCCGGTAGACCACATAAGTTGCAAGGCCCCATAATCCATTCCATAACCCATCGCCATGTGTTGCCGATTAACGGGGTTTCTGCGGAGCAAACGCAGAGGAGACGGCCAGGCTGAGGGTTTTCTTCCGCGGCGGAAGCCAATCTGTTTAGGATTAAGGGAATAACTAGTGTGGCTGACACTGGGGCATCCAGTGAGAAGAAACGGGGATGAAGAGAGAGGGGGAGAGAGGGAGAAGAAAAAAAAGAAGAAGTATCACGAATGTGATGACAGGAGTTGATTGTGTTTTGGCAAAGGTCTGGTTGTTGGTGATGCTCGGAGTCTGTTCCTGTTGATTGTCTTGGGAGTCCATTGCTCCAGCGTATGCAAAGGATCTTCTCTCCAAATGAAAACTGACCCTTTGAAGTTCAACTTTTCCCGATCATTACAACTTCCGTTCATTCGTACACATAAATTGCCAACAGTTTAATGCGTTTCATCTTATCTTGGATCAGCGAAAATAAAGGCAACGCTGTTCTCCTGGTGTCTCCAGTCTGTTTGATGCAGAGACACACCTTATCTGTCTCCTCAGCACAGAGAGGCCTTCTTTTGTGAACCAGAGGCTCACTCACCCATTATGATGGCAATCTCAGATGATTAAAGACCCGTGGAAGAAACTGGGCTACCTGTTGCCATGATGTCATGTCTGGTCTAGAGCAACTGCAATAATTAAGATTTAGGGCCACTGGAGCTGTTTGTGGAAAAATATCAATTAGTTGCTGGCTACAGGGAAGCAGTTTATGTTTTGGATGTGAAGTTTGGTTTTTTACTGATCATTAAGGAGTACGTGTGGGTGCAAATGCTGACGCTTTTCAGTTGTTAATGTATAAGAAACAGCTGTTTCTTGAAACAACCCTTGTATTAAGACTTTAAGAAGCCAATTACAAGTCTTGGTCTGAATTTTGATTTCTCACTACATGGCCATAATAATCAAACCACAGAGTCTTGACAGTGAAGTTGTGTGAAGTCTGAATTTATTTAGCATTATTGGGATTTTATGTGATAGACTGAGACTAAGTAGTGCTTATTAGAAGGAAACTATACTTGGCTTGCAAATTCTTTTTTTTACTAAATAAAGGCCGAAAAATGTGACCTGCATTAGTTTTCAGTCCCTCTAAATAAATGCTGAAACTGCAAGTCAGCCTGAATGGTATGGTGAAACACGGTGGAGGTCACATCATGCTGTGGGACGCTTTCCTTAACCAAGTAAAGTGAAGCTAATCAGATGTTATGAGAATAGAGGCGGAACGAAATAAAAAGTTACGCTGCGAAAAATTGTTAGAGACTACGAAAGACATATGCAACAAAACTAACCAGCCAGCCAGAGCGACAGTGAATAGTTGAGATGAAGACATAGTTATGTGTCAGAGTAACACGGTTAAAGTTCAAACTTTATGTTCAAAGCAATTATGAAAGTATCTGACATGAAAATGCCATGGCAAATAAAACAAAAAAACAAATTGACAGAATTTGAAGCTATTTTGCAAAGAAAAATAGAAATTTTACTTTCTGAAATTAAAATTGAAAAGCTGGTAAAGTCCTTAAAACAAATGTCAAACTCAAAGTCCGTGAACCAAATTGGTTAATGAGACCTGCAGACTCTGGAGAGCCATGCAAACCTTCCAGATAACAGTGGTGAGCCTCAGTATTAGCTTATCAATCAAACCAAACCGTTTTTATTTGTTTAATGCTAAATTACATCAACGTCTAAAGATGTTCAACATTACTTAATTAAGAAGTGCTCTTTCAATGCAGACACAGCTGTTTATGAATTTATTCAGTTTGAAGAAGGGTAATTTTGCCAGTACATTCTGTCAAAACTGGCCATTCTTAGTGTTGATGAGGCCAGAAATGGTAATGAGTCTGACAGCCTTTACCACCGCCTTATATGATGGCAGCAGTGATAGCAGCATGAGATGGTTTTAAAAAAGTTTGGGCTAAAAGATGTTGAATAAACACACATGCCACACCTTTCAGGTGTTTATTTAAAAAAATAAATAAATAAAAAATTGAAAACCATGCGCTACTTTTCATTGGTTTATTGTACCAATAAAGTACTTCAAAATTTGTTATTGCAACGTTACAAATATGGAAAATGTCAAGAGGCGTGGACACTTTTGCAGGACGCTGTAATTCTATGCTATTTTCTACATATGCTCAATTTAAGTTAAAACGAGTTGCTGCATTCCTTAAAACATATTCGCTCAGTATTTTAAGACTTGACGTATGGCCGCACCAAAGCATTGCAGCATAAGCAATGCTTTGGTCTTGCATTTCAACTTAGCTCAACATTTCAGCTTTATAGACCACTGCGTTAGTGTTCAGTACAATGCCTTACTCAGCAAAGCACAGACAAACACCCTGGTAAAAACAAAAAACTGTGGAACATTTAGCTCCTAAAGACCCAAATACTTCTCTCATGAGTCACCCAAGACTAAAGCTGTGTTTGAAGAACAGTAAGCAGTCTGACCAATCAGATTTTGACAAAGTGTTGAAATACAAATGTGGTCAAATCCAGCCATCTCTGTATTATATTGATGAGGAAAAGCTGCATATAATATGAGATCATAAACACCTACTCATTATTTTCTCCAATGAGCCGTTAAAAAAAGCACAATGTTTTAAAACCTTTAAAAAAAAAGATGGTTTGAGCTCATGCATAAAGTGCGACATTCAATGCAGTCATATTTAAAATGTTATCAAGAGTCCACTTATATTTAACTGTGTAAGTCCAGTTAAAGCAGCTTAAGCGAAGTTAACTGATTTCCCAGT